ATATTATTGCATGTGCAAAACTGTTTTTAGCGTACAAAGTCGTGGTTCAACATGACGCCAGTACCGAATCCATATCACATATTGTATGGCCAGGTATGAATTTATTTCATCTCACCATAATATATACCTGACTCGGGTTGATCTTTGTACAATTTTTTTTCACTAAGGTATATTAACTGTGGGTGCACATCTGCAAAATTATGCACATATGCCCCTTTCTGTGTTGATAAGGTCACGTGAAAATATCAGGAAAATTAGACCCTTCAGAATTTACAAAACGCACATTTTGCTGATGTTGGCAAAGACGTGCGCTGTTGACAAAAGATACTGGATTTAAAAAAAAAGGCTATACATGATGGAAATACAATATATGTGGAAGGCATGATCCGAATATGCGGTTTGCATTTGCGGTGACCTGGTACTTGGCTGATCAGAACCACGTTTTTATTGATGTTCTTAGTGTTTTAGATGTACCTCCAAAGAGCACTGCTGTATCCGTGGCTCCGCGAGTAGAAAGCCTAGGCAATTTGCGACAATAGGAATGCATGGAAAATATTCATGTTTATCTGTAGGCACGCAAAGCGATAAAATGAACATCATTCGAACCCTTAGCGTACATGTATGGTGACTAACACAGTTTTGTATTTTTTCCACTGGCGTCTCTTTAGGTGTTTTGGATTATCTAATAAAACAGCTTTAAATCTGTTCGCAACATATTTACTTGATTTTATATCAGCATTCATCGCAAAGTATAGACAAGTGTGAAAACTGTGAAAAGTGTCGCAAAACCATCAGCCAGCTTGTAACACATACACTGTTTTCTGGTTTTCTATCCTGTTGGCACGGGAGCTGTGCGGCGACTTGAACGTGTTTCTAGAGAGATATCTACACTAGTACGCAGTGCTGAGATCAAGCCGGTGTCACACCACGGTGCATTAAGTGTCGTGAGACAGGACATACATTCTGGCTTGATATCCGTCCTAATAAACCCGAAAGGACCCATTGGACGTGTAGTCCTTTAAGGATAATTTACCTGTCTTGGGATAAATTTCAAACGCTTTCCTGGACATTGTCGCACAGTTAAAGCTACCTCGTGTGGGCTTTTTATTCTCGATTTTTTCTGTGTTTGTTTATTTATTGAGGGTAACACTCTTTTAGATGACTCAAGTGGTATTTCTATGCACAATTTGCAATTTAAAAAGAAGTGAAAATGCAATGAATGTTCGCGCATATTTGGCAAAGTGATAAAACCGTTACTACTCCCCAGACTAGAAAATGTGCTAAAAATCCGCAAGAGGTGGGGAGAATTTCTCAGAGTGATCAGTAATAGCCGGGAGTGGCGTCGTAGAAAGAAATGCAGAGGCGAAGCACAAAATATTGAGAAATTAGCACTTGTGTGCAAGGGAGTGATTCCATAAAACAAAAATTAGAATTATGTCAGCTTTTTTCGTTTCTTCGCCGCGCTCTCGCCTGTCTGCCAATTCTTTACATCTCGCCCTCCTCTACATCCCACGAAATATCGCTCGACTATACGCTCACTTACGCCAATATACGATATCTCTGATTATTCCCACTGGGATAAATAAGACAGTAAAAATAAAATACATAAAGTGATCATGAACATCTGAACCCTAACAAAATCTATTCCCTATGAAATTGCAATGGTCCCGGCGAGATGTGGCTGCAGTTCTTTTATACCCTGGATGGGCAGAGGCGGCTGAGTTTCCATTTAGTTCAATTTTACAAAGGTGGAGATGGCATACACTTAGTCATCCCACGAACCCATTAAATGAGGGGCTTTTAATCGTCCCTGTGGAGCCACCATTCAACGCTTTTAGAGAAATATTAATATGAGATTAAAGCTACTGTTCTGTTATGTATTTGTAGTCTTATTTTCACTACAATCCTCTAGGTGATCGGGCTTTAGTCATTACTCTTGGGTAATCATACACCGAGAAAAAAATTCCCAGGTCTCTTTTACTCTCAGATGGCTATGCTTTTAAAATGACTAATGCTTAGTTACAAAAGAGAGGTAGTGCATTTGCGGTTAAAATGCCCTTATACTTTACATAAGCATGTTCAGTGCCTATGGCATTAATATGTTTTCGATTTTTAAGCAAGAACATCCAGACATTTAAGCATATTCAGCAAGACATGTTCATGTTTTTTTTTTTCAATACGGCGAAAGCGAGGAAAGAATAATTTACTGGTGAAATGAAATTTACCAAAGAAAATACAATTTTAAAGTAATGACTGGTACATATTTTTTCAGGAACAAAAGAAGCAACCTGCTTTTGCCTGTCCTACTTTTTATGTGATCTTCATCAACAGAATTATCCACAGATAGGATAGCTACAAAAATGTAATTGAAAAAAAACACGCTCCATTCCTTAGACTGGTCTAATAGGCCCCAAGAAGCCACGGTGCTTTTACAGGTAGATCAATGGGGGCACCGCTTATTTTTGTGTCAACAATTTGAGCTTAAACTTATTTAAAGTAAATAGTATTTTCATTGGTGTACATTGTATAGTTTGCGGGTGTTTCTGCAACCAAGAGTGTATTATCATTGACTTACATATTGCTGCTGTTTATCTAACTGAAGTAGGAAAGAAAATGACAAATAATGATAATAATAATGATAATAATCATCCTCATTTTAAAAAAATTAATTAAAACAAACAATGTAAAAATTAGAATGTTACTTGAGCACTCACTTAAAAAATCATTAACAAAAGCCCTATTCATAGTTTTTATTAGAGACGTTCCCTTGGGTTCCCTTCTGACAGTAGCTGGAGAGTCTTTCCTACGCAGTAAGATAGTCAATAAATACCATTCCCCTCGGTACAGCGATTTAAAAAGAATTGTCACCTTACATGGTGTGAAAAGTAAATGGCCCAAAGAGCGTAATTGGTGGGGGTGGGGGTGGGGGTGTTCGTAAAAATCAACAAATATCCAGTCGTGTGCTTAAAAGAGAGTGAGCATTAGAGTCAAGGCTATTTTTTTTAAAATGCGATAGTTGAGACAGCACAGTGCGGTTGTCCTATCCGTGCGATAAATGGAACATCCAACAAAATAGCATTTTACCTTGAAATAACAGTTTATTTCGGTATGAATATCATTATATTACGCTGACACTACAAAGAACACTATAAGAGGGGATAGATGACCAAAGAAAGCCGGTAATAATTCCATATTCAATTAAATCTTTTACATAGGCCTATACAATCGTTTCACAATGGTTGCCCTTCAGTTTCTGATGGCAAGATGACATTGGTCTGACGTTATCCCGACTCCGTCTCATTTCACAATTTCGCATAAACTTTTAATGAAAATCGGTAGACGGGCGCAGCTCATCTATTTGGAACTTTGACGTGGTAATCTTTATTGTTTTGACTAAGAACAGTAGGCGTAAAATGCTGTCATGATATGGTGAATCAAAGGTTGGCAAATGCTCATGCAGGGAGATCGAGATCATTTAAAGAGTAAACAAATTCATAAAGAATAGGGGTAAAACTGTCAGTCCGCTGGCCTCGTGTATCGAGAATACCAGGCTCTAAATTTAAGTTTTTCCTTATGTAACATCAAAAATGTAAATGAATTCTTTTTAAAATACAGTTTTTACTTGAAATAATCTACTAAACTTCTAGCCTTAAACTTAGTGAGCAGTGACACAAGCTATAACAGTGACACAAGTAGTTCCAAATTAATTTCCCTATTAATCACAGTTGAAAATAGCCAGAATTAAAAAAAAACACAGTCTCGGAATGCCTTCATTTACTTTGTATTCTTGATATTATTTTCAACTGCGCATATATTCAACTTACCAAGTTGCATTGTATGAGTACTACACAAAACTCCCCACATTTACTTTAGCCATATTTTACCTACGTGCTATTCAACAATATGTATCCAATTGCCAAGTTAACGAGCACAAAATAACCTTAATGATTTTCTACGGTATATCTATCAATTGAAACCATCCTAGTTTAAGACTGTTGGCACTGAGACTAGAAAATGAGGTAAGAAAACAACCAGAACTACTCAGTATATATGTCGATAGATTCTGTTAGTTTTTATTCGTTGCCGCACTCGTCGCCTTAATTGTTTCTTATCCTACTCTCCTCCAAACCTCGCTTGATTTTACGCTAATTTGCGAAACTTGGGCTACCTTGGATTATTCCAATTCATATAATTTTTCTGACTAACAATATTTAGTCCATATTTAGACAGTTTCTACATCCACATAATCCAACCTCACATGCTGAAGGCAGCAATTAAGACCATCAATACGAAACAATAGATGGCGCTGTGCGGAGAAGCTCCGCCGTTTTTGTCCCCCTTGGTGGCCGTGTCTGGTGACCCCGTGGTGGCGGCGGCGGTAGTAGTGGGGGCCACATCCACCAGCGACATGGTGGACTTCGCCGAGTTACAGCCATCACTGTCGCACATGCACTGCTGGCCGGACAAAGCTGGGGTCACAGACTGATTCATATTTTGCGCCATCTGGGCCAGCAAGTCGCGGATAGTCTGCTGTTCGTTGTTGGGGCCCTGAGGGGGTCCCATCCTTGTGTCCATGGTGAGAGGGGAGCAACCCGTGGCCCCGGCTGTACCGCACATGCGCATCACCATTGTCAGAACCATTCCGTAGCTGATCGAGTTCTGTTACATTAGATATCAAAAGAAAAATGCCTGATCATATAAATATTGATGCCAAACTTTTTAAAAAGAGAAATTGAAAATGCGAATATAGAGGACAATCCACTTATATAACACCTTAGTTTGAACGGGCTTTTCATTGTCTCTAGATAGCGCAATGGTGATAAAAGCGATCATAGTCCATTTGAGTGAGAATCGAAACAGTATTTCTCATAATTCAAAAAAGAAAAAAAACCTTTTACCCTTTAGAAATGACACACTTTATTAGTCAAACTTACCCCTTCTCCAATGGGGACAGACGCCGATATATCTACTTGCAAGTCTGCCGTCAAGCAGGGATTATCCCCGCAGGGCATTGTTTCAGTACTGGTACCGTCATGACAAGCCGTGTCGTTCATTCCTGGCACAGACGAAGGAAGCAGCTTATCGAAGTCCATGCCCTCTATTTTTGGAAGACCGCTGTACCGCATGTTGATGAACTGACAAAACCTGCATTCTCTGGCACTTCCTGGAAGAAGGAATCACTGTGTAACATTGGTTACGTCTTATGCCATCGCAGACAACTCTTTTCTTGCAATTGACGTCATTTTACCACCACAAATATAATTTCAAGCAGGAATATATTTTGCCTATACTAAACACTTATTGAATGTCGACGACTTATCATATTCTTAGATTTTGCAACCATTACGGATTGGTGAATTCGAATGAACTACACCGGACAATTCTGGTTTTGAAACACAAATACAAAGCTTATGTCCCTGCATGTTTAACCTTTGAATGTCATGCGAAATCAAGGCTCTTTCTTTCAAATGAAATGCTTTCTAGGTAGAGCCTCGGGTTGCAGAGTAGCAATTCCAGTACTGTCTGCAGACACGAAAATGCTAATCTTTGTGAATTTTGGGCAGGGTGTCATACTCAAAAAAACACAGAACGTTAGTACAACGTTAGCATAAGGTTTATATAAAACGCTATGGTAATGTTATAGAACGTATTGTGCTTGCTTGCCGTTTTTGTAGTCAGGGTGCTTAGATATGACAAGCAAAGATCCTGTTGGCTTGGGCTTATTCACCGTCACGCCCTTGGCTTGTCAAGGCAACATTTACGGTATGATCAATTGTTTCAATTAAGATTTACTATAGAATGCCAGTAACCTATATTTACTGTTATCAGATGAGTAACTCACATCTTGTGGTCTGCGATTAAGATTAAGATATTTACAAGTATATGCATGATGTATAATAATGATATTGAAAGTTATAAAATAGTAATACACGGTATTTCGTTGATTGTTATCATGGTCTGTGGGAGCCTATGAGTTCTTTTATTACTAGGCTCATCAGAAAAGGCCGAAATCAACATGGCGTATATCTCTTCTTCTTTAAGCCTAGGGGCAAATTGGCGCACAGGCCCTATGTGCCATGGGAGATTGTGCACCACATTTAATGAGGGATTCTTAACTAGCCTTGATTTCACATGACATCCAAAGGTTAAACACGCAGAGACAGAACCTTTTTATTTGTGTTTCTGAACTAGAATTTCCCGCTGTCGTTTGCTCACCAATCCATAATGGTTGCAATATGATAAGTCGTCAAGATTTAATTAGTGATTACGACAGGAAAATAAATTCCTGCTTGAAATCATATTTGTCGTATCAGAGCGTATAAGTTTGCGAATTTTCCGTGCACTTAAAAATTCCTGTTCCTTTTATAAATAACATAAGTGCACCCACTACGTAGGAAATAAACCTCATTTTAGACTGGGTTCCCATACACAGATCGATCCATCTAGATCGATCTAACTCCCTGGGGAGCCTCGCTAAATTGTTATCAACTAACTGGCTTAAATGTCTGTCACGCCTACCAAATCCGCTTTACTAGGCCTGATAGACATTTAAGCCGGCCAAGTTAACAGCAATTTAGTGAGACTCCCCAGGGAGATAGATCGATCCAAATATCTATGGGAATAGTCCCTTAGACTTGGTTCCCATCCTTAGATCGATCATACAGGATCAGCCCATCTCCACGGGGTTTCTCGCTAAATTGCTTTCAGCTTATGTGGCTCAGATGTCTGGCACTCCTGCTAAAGCTGCTAAACGATTGTTAATTACCCCTTATCAGCTACAGTAGGCGTGACAGACATCTAAGCCGCTTAAGTTAATTGCAATAAAGCGAATCCCTTTGGAGATAGTTCCATCCAAAGTTAGTACGATAGTCTCTGGGAATGGTCTCTTGGAGACGTTTACATAATTCCAAGACCGAAATAATTGCATTTTAATGCGATGTGGAAATACCAAGGAAATATAGCCACTTACTAGCCTTACGTCACACAGAGAAATAGTGGTTGGCATGTAAATTAAATGAAAATCAATATAACTTAAGAACTCTACAGTGATATTTTAGGGTATTTTGGAAAGTGACGATAACGCAATAAAATATCTTAGCGGAAGGACATCCATCAGTCTGTCCGACTCAGGAAACGTAGTTACTGTGATACAGCCGCTTTCCCAAAGATAACATAGAGATAAGGAGGGTCTATCCTGACGCAGGAAGAGTTTTATATATATCAAAACACATTTTCTCGAAGCCATTCTTGAACTATTAAGTATGTTTGCTGCCTTGCGTCCATGTGCGTGGGCTCTATAACTATTACTACTAACCCAACGTCCATATTTCAAACGCAACTCATCCGCGTCACGTGATGCTGGTCATTTTAGAAGCTTTGACTGTCACTCAGTGATGCACTAGAAGAAGTTGACTCAGATTTGATATCAAAGGAAAGTGGGATATGAAAGGAATGCTCTAAAACACCTTGGTGGGGTAATACATTTCACAAACGGCGGCATGTGTTTTTACATCTCTTAGGTCATTTCTCAGAGGTGTAACCGGCAAGTGCTGGACAGGACACGTAAAGCATCAATTTCAGTGACAGGTTATTTAAGATTCCATGTCTCACGAGAGGACTGCCTTAGCAACGCACGAAATGCTAGGCTGTGCATTTTTAATTATTTGTTTCTCAAATAAATTTTTTATTTTCACCTTAGTTCGGAAGAAAAGAGGGAAGATTTTTTTCAGTAATGCCTTTTTGTCACTTAATGTAGACGATATTCAAAACTTTGTCTCTAACACATTAGCCATCTAAAAAGGTAAAAGCAGTGACCCCTGTTCATTGAACTGTTTTAATTACATGGCGACATAAAACGATAAAGTCAGTTTAACGTTAATTCCTTTTTCTTCCCTTGCCATTCATTGCATTGTGTTTCACAATCTAATTTCTTTGTATCTTGGTCATTTTAATGTCCAAAGGGTATGTGAAATAAGTTAATACATGTAAAAAAATGCCTAACATTAGTTCTTGAGGTGGTCTTACAAGTTTTAAACGCGCTAGATGGGGTGTCAGAGAAAGAAACACTTAAAAAAGTCTCTGGGCTAAAGTCCTCTCTGCATATTTTCAGTCTTTCTACCATTTCGCTTTTTTAACTTACTTGGTTGTGTTTTTAAAATTATAAAAGCCCGTTATTTGATTGTGGCCAAATAGATATCGCTGTACCTGTTTAACGCTTCATCGCCCGAAGAAGATGGGCACGAATACGCGTTACTATGGTAACGTGCGGCGTCTTCCGTCTCCAAAAACAGAAGAAAAAACGTTTTACACCGCCCTCCTTTGCTCGATACAACTGCCCCTTGGTCCCTGTGTGCTGAAGTTAATGATAGTCTTTGTCCGGTGATTTTCAGCGTGATACGAAGGGGAGGCATCCCCGCACTTGTACGTACGTAGGTCTTATCTATAGGTGCAGAACTAAATCATTAAGTCTTCCATATCAGCAGAGCGGAACATAAGGAGTGTTCTGACCAGCACGGAGAGTACTACGGCTTCACAATTTAAATATTTTTTTAATTTTATACAATGCCTGTTATTGTTGTATGAAAATGTCAACTATAGTTATTGAGGTTGGAAGGATGACCAGCATTCGGGGCCAAATTTTAAGTGGTTGGGAGAACTGGTCCTATTTTCCTAATTTAGATCAAAAATTAAGTTTCATTACTTTTTGACAGGTAACACAAACACAAACAATAAATAAAGCAACGCAAATGTGTTACTCACTTTTTTTCAATCAAACTTACCATATTGTGTAGCGAAGGCCACAAGTGCTGCAAAACTGACCAAAGCTTTAGCGGTCATCTTCTTCTGAAATGTACTGGAGGGACTGGCCCATTCGCTGTCTGAAACTATATTAAGAAAGGTCACGGAGCCACATAGGGTGTTATTTAACTAATAAATATGTATGTTGTGTGGTACATTTGCGGTGGCCGGACCCCAACACCATGTAGTGATAAGCGGAAGGACGGAGAAGGCACGAATATAAGAAGAGAAATCATCCAAGATTTATAAGATGTGAAATGTGTCAGTCAAATACGAAAGAAAAATTAACGATTATCAAAAGAGGCATATCGTGGAACACTATGGCGTAAAATTAAAGGCATTGTAATTTTTCATTTAATTAATTTTGATATCCTTTCTTTTTAGACAATATCTTTGTACTTCCTAAACTTAATAGCCTTTTTACTTTTAAAAAGCCTCATTGGTTTTAGCACAAAGTTCACAAAACCCGTCATCCCTAGCCGGAGTACTTTGACTTACGCCTTAGTTCTTTTCCAAGACACTTCATAAAGCCAATTTTGGCGTTAGTTACATAAATCTACGTCACCCTCTTTTAGTGTAATATATAAAAAAAACAATTTGCTAGGATACACAGGCTTGTGGCCAGCAATTCCGAAGGGTGGGAGTTTATTTTCTGAAAAAGTGTCCCCGCTTAGTTGACTCAACTAGAGAAACGAGAACCTAGATTAGATTTTAGATATTGAGTAAACCTTTTTCGACCAAAAAGCCCCATTCTTTCGAACCTCACGAACCCTCCCTGCCTGAGGACCTGGCATAGTTAGATCCGCCGCGATTAGCAACTTACTCGAAGTCGTAATTAGCACCTATGACTGACACCACCGAAGTCATAACTACCCCTTACCAAGGCCCCAAATATGTCTCTGGCTAATTATGTGTTCCTTTTCTGTACCCAGGCAGTACAGAATCGAAATGTGTCACGAATTAGCCAGGTATATATCGATGAATATCTAGATAAAAATCAATCTGTGACCCTGGTAGAGGAGAACATTATAATTCTTGGGAGTTACGCCGTGAACACGAAACGTCTTGCGTGGAGGCCATAGTAACGTGAGGACTCTCTCTGTACCAGTGTATGATTTTTTTTTATAATGTACAAGTAAATAGACAGTCATAGTGATAGCAGATACTAGTACTGTTTGTGAGTTGGCATGCCGCACCATGCGAAAGTATACGTATATAAGGGCTCATTCCCAATGAAAATATCGTTCCAACTCTGAGGGGACTCTCGCTGAATGCAATCAGATTGACAGATTAACACGCCTCCTCTTGTTTCCCAAATACTCGCACAATCGCCACCTTTTCTTTTTTACTCAACGATTAGAGTTTTATTGTTTTAATATTAGACAGCGTGAGTTATTCTGGTCTAATAAATGTGTTCGAAGTGTGACTGTTGGTTTTGTTCTGGGGGCTTAGGCAGAGAGTAGGTACAGAATAGGTAGAGAATAGGTCCAGCTTAGGCAGAGAGTAGGTACAGAATAGGTAGAGAGTAGGCACAGAATAGGCAGAGAGTAGGTCCAGCTTAGGTAGAGAGTAGGTACAGAATAGGTAGAGAGTAGGCACAGAATAGGTAGAGAGTAGGTCCAGCTTAGGCAGAGAGTAGGTACAGAATAGGTAGAGAGTAGGTACAGAATAGGCAGAGAGTAGGTACAGAATAGGTAGAGAGTAGGCACAGAATAGGTAGAGAGTAGGTCCAGCTTAGGTAGAGAGTAGGTACAGAATAGGTAGAGAGTAGGTCCAGCTTAGGCAGAGAGTAGGTACAGAATAGGTAGAGAGTAGGTCCAGCTTAGGCAGAGAGTAGGCACAGAATAGGTAGAGAGTAGGTCCAGCTTAGGCAGAGAGTAGGCACAGAATAGGTAGAGAGTAGGTCCAGCTTAGCCAGAGGTAGATGTTGGTTAGGGACGCAGCTGACAAAGCCGAAATCAGCCGACTTTAAATTTCACTGGTCACCATGAACCTGTCCAGTCTTGAAACGATCTCAGCCCGGTCTTCCATTCCTAGGACTACCATTTGTGTCACACTGGGATGCTAAAAATTATAAACAGTTTTGACTTTTGACAAAATGACTGCACTGTATTATGGAGGAAACGCTTTAAATATATCTAGACCATCATCTTAACTTACGGAGACTGGGAATTACACGTTTGGCTGTCGATCTCTTAAAAGATGACTCTAACAAATGTTTAAAATCACCGCCGATCTGCCCTTAATTGTTTTGTGGGATTTGCAAATGGCATGTGGGTGGTAATCAACACGCAGCGTACCTGAGGATACAAAACTGTCTGCTTTGCTCTTCACGCAACCGTGAAAAAAACGCTCTCAGAGACTAAATCTGGGGTGCTTTCGATTAAAGCAAATACGTCGACATGACTTTTTAGAAAGACGTTTACTGAATCATCCCGCCGAGAGTATAGCATTTATCCTGTTGAGCGTAGTCTTCGCAAAAAAATACTTAACTTCGATGTATCTGTCAACAAAACTTTAAGATTACTGATGAAAATGTCTAGTAACTAATGTAACTTTTTAGTGGCAATTTCTGTCGACTCAATCATAAAATAGGTGAAAGACAACGACACAAAAAAAAAACATTTATTTAATAATCAAGATACATGTTAAAAAAACATAACAAATACCATAGTTTGAATACCAGTCTTAAGGCCGTATTAACTGAATAAAAATAATGCTAACACAAAAGACAAAGAAGACTAAAATCCTCCAAAATGCTAATACTGATGTAAACATTTGAAAAGAACAGAGCTATAGCTCAATGTGGCTTTCTACATGTAAACTACACCATAGCAATGGCTCTGACATTTGATCCAGGTTTTTGGCCTCTGACTTTTAGAGTGCATTCCCATAGATTAAGATCGATCCATCTAGATCGACCCAACTCCCTGGGGGTTCACGCTAAATTGATGTCAGCCGAGCGCGCACGGTAGTTAATTACCCCCTTACAGCTTTTAGTAGGCGGGACAGACGCTTAAGCCGGCTATGCTGACAGTAATCTAGTGAGACTCCCCACAGGGATAAATCGATCTAAAATCTGTGGGAATGGGATCTTAGTTTCAAGTTTGACCCATATCGTTTTAGCAATTGGCCTTTGATTGCGATTGGTGTGCAAAATCATCGGTGTGCCGCCGATGAAGAACATGCCTGTATAACGAGAGCCTCTCAGTAAAGACTATATCTGATCATAAGCCCAACCATCACCGGCACGTCAACGGCAACACATCTGTTACATTCCATCATTTGCAATTCCACACAGTTTGCTATGTTAGAGTTCGGGGTCATGCCCAAAATACAGTTACAAACAACCGAAACAGTGCCCCATACCTTGTACGCGATATTTTCAATGTTTTAAGTTTTGTTTACAACAAAATCTTATAAGGATTCCTTCTTTCAATATGGCTGACGATCATAGGATTGAATGCCGTAAAGCGGCAAGCGAGTAACCATAAAAACAGTTACCATAACAACCCATCGGTCAGCACTTCTTGACAACTAATAAGGACTTTTCGACAAACCACTTCGTTGGAAGATCTCAGTGTAAAAAATAATTTTGCTTAAAAGTATAACAATACAGGGTTGACCAGTTTAGTATACATGTAGGCCTATATGCATCAAGCATATTATGTTTCCACAAACCCTGGCTATCAGCCTCGACTATCTCAATCTCTGAAAGGCTATCGAACTTCATGGCCACGGGTTTTCTTTCTACGCGTACGATATTCAAGGTTTGTAATGAGCAAACTCCCTGCTTGTAACTTTTATATAAACTGCAAAGAACCTTTTCATCTGAATACTGCTCTAACTAATAGGACAAAAATGCACGTACATAAAGATTCAGTCCAAAATGACTGCGTATCACTTATCACTAAAATAATAGCTTCGTCTAAGACTACATTCCATCAAATATTTTTAATTGCAAAGAGATCAGCACTACTAAAGATGCAAAATCAAACTCCAAGAATACAGGTGTAAAGGGAACGCTAAGGATCGGCCGAGGTAAAATCCCCATTAATAATTCCATTAATTGGAAGGACTCGAAAGAGAGGAAGAAGCTTCCTATTTAATGAAATCTCACCCAACCAAAAAAATCAGAACGTTTCTTTCAATTATTTGTTACAAAGGTAGGCCCTACTTCATGTAGTAAGGCCTACACACTGGTATGTAGGCCTAATGTAAGCAACTAATCATGTACCTGCACTATGTAAGCCCCTACTGATAAATCCAATTTATGTTCACAGCTGTAATTAAACTCCGATTACAAAGCATGATCACTAATAATGGTTGTTAAAAATGAAGATCAATGAACCTGTCAGTGTGAATCTATATGGATTAGATCTCTGAAAAGCGGGTAACGCAATATGAAATTACTCTAAATTATGTATAGTTGAATTTCTCACTTAACAAATGTATTAATCTATTTACGTTAACATTCACATTGAAATGTTTGTTACTGTTGGGGGGGGGTTAAATAAAAAGATAGCAACATGTATCCCTACGAATTTATCAATAGGCCTACGGCTAACTTGTCTTTAATTTAAAAGAACAGCAAAGATGGCGATGCAAAAGAAACTGTAGATGGCGCTGAAGTGAAGGACTTGTCCGTCATTACTAGGTCCGTCCTTGGTGGGCTCTGGTGCTGCGCTGGTGGAAGCAGCGGCGACCAGAGACATAGTGGATGCTGCCGAATTGCAACTGTCACCGCTAGCGCAAGCGCATTGCTGTCCCGAGATCGTGGGGGTGATGGACATGTTCGCATTTTGCACCAGCTGGGATATCTGCTCTCTGAGCGTCTGCCGTTCGTTGTTTGGTGGCTGGGGCGGTCCAACTGGGGTGTCCATGGTGATAGGGGTGCACCCTGTACTTCCAGCCTGTCCGCACATGCGCATCACCATTGTCATGGTCATCGAATAACTGACTGTTTGCTGAAAAGGTCGAAGGGAAAGTAGACAAATTGAAAATTAATGTGAATAGGGTGTGTGGGCCTATTTGTATATAGCGTATTTTGTAGATATATGAATGACAGGGGTATGCCCATGCCATTGTACCAGAACATCGTCGGAAAAGCATGTGGATATGGCAATGAGGATGTGAGTGGTACTGAACATTTATATGTATATGTGTTCATGATCCGTAAACTATAGACGTCATTCAAATTTCTCATTATGTATTTGGATATTGGACATAGAATTTTATTCAACCAATAATTTGAAACTAAGCTTACATTGCCAAGTGCAAGAACATGTCTAAACTAAATCAAACTCACCAAGTACTGTGACAGCCACGGTCGAAAATGTTACACTTACAGCCAATAAAGCTTACAGAACGTCTAGACGTGAAGGTGACCACAAATATCCCTCCTCCCCTCGCTCCATCCTCTGTCTTTCCACCCCTCACCCTCTCTCTCCCTCCCTTTCTCTGTCATTAACGAGTTGATTCTCACAAAGCAGTCTTCAAATAAAGTATTAACCAGAAAAACAAATAAATTTATGACGGGAATAATTAAACAAGGCACAACAAATAGGCCCTATACTTACATCCTGGCTAATCGGCATGGAGGCAGAAATATCCACTTGCATGTCTGTCAGTGTGCAAGGGTTATCCCCGCAAGGCATCGTTTCAGTACTGGTGCCATCATAGCAAGCTGTATCGTTCATCCCTGGCACAGATGAAGGAAGGATGCTGTCCCAGTTCATGCCCTCAATTTGAGGCATACCGCTGTACCGCATGTGGAGGAACATGCAAAATCGACAGTCTCTGGCGCTTCCTGGAAAGAGAGGGATAGATTTGAACTACACGTGACGTGACGTGATAGAGACAAAAATCCCTGATCATTTTTCATGATATGAGCGCTTTAAGCACGGTGTAATGCATCGGCTGAAATACGGGCTAGACCTTTCCTAGATTCCGACCCACTTACGTCATGCTAACCCGAACCTGTGCGAGTCTTTGTTACCTGATGTCTCTGTTTCGTCACAGCAGTCACAACGGGACTACTTTCAGGCCTCTAGTTCAATTTCAGTCGATTGGGTGAAAGTGCGGCGACGAAAGTTAACGCAATTTGATAGGCATACAAGTATGACAAAGTGTCGGCTGCAATCTCCTTATTAATATTGATAAATGGTTACAATTTGTTTCACCTATAAATGCACTATAGTAACTTTATCATTGAGTGCAACTATGAATTTACTCAAAACTAACATGGTCCGTATGTTTGGCCTGAAATTTTAGACCACCATACGGGTTATTCTATTTTGTGAGACCTACCCGTGAGTGACTGGGGCAATCTGAACATGATTTTCTGGTCTTGGTGGAAAATGCTTCATATAATTTTTACACCACTCCGCTATTTACAGCTTGAACTTGATATAAAAAGTTCTCAATGAAAGGGATGGTTTCAAAATCGGTGTACAAAACAATTTGTTCATAACAAAAAATGCAAAAATAATCCAATCGTATCCACTATCAAACTAAGAAAGAGTCCCGCTTTTTTCCTAAAAAAATCAAATTTAAAATTGAAATAATTACAGTTAGGCATTTTTGACCGTCGCCAAAATACATGCAAAAATTTCCAGAACTATCGTAAAAATAATTCGTTCATGCTCATTTCCAAAGAGAAACTGTCTTAATAGAAAACAAATAAGAAAGGTTTAAGCAATATTTCGGACAGCGACGGCATAGACAGCGTGATCATTATAAATATAGACACAGACACTGTCTGCATATGCAAATTATGATATACAATGGAAATCTTATTCCGCCAAGACTCGTCATGATGACTGTCGGTGCAAAGGTGATTGACCTTCAGACCTATAATCGTAGTGTTTATTTTTGCATCCAGATGTCAGGGCGATAGCGAAGCTCTTATTTTCGTTGATTGGGTCAGATATTCCTGATCAAGCGATGAGTGAAGTCTGTTTTTAAACGGTAACAGGCGGCAGCACGCAACGTAGCCTTGATGAGGAAAATATTTGCTGCTGCTGCACTGTGTTAGCTTAATGCATCTAACCAAAAAAGAAGTCCTATATTGACGGGAATACGGCTAATTTGACCATGCCATTTTTGTAGGAACTGACTTGGTTGTTTACCAGTACTCAATCGCGCTCTTCTACCATTCCTATGATACTAACGCATGGTCACAAGAGAGTAGGTGTCAATTTGGCTGCTCCTAGTGGCTGACCAACTCACCGCATTAATAAGAAAAAAAGTTCCAGTCTTAATGTACAAATCATGGCATATTGGCAAGGAATGTGAAATTAGAGGGCCCAAAATTACTTTGGTACCGTATATTTAATAATAATAATAATAAGTTTATTGAGTACTAAATGATGTGAATACATTTGCAGGCTCTCTAGACTACAATATTTACACAATATATATATATTTGGGATTAATAATACTCCAAATATTTTACATGGAACAGCATGTTCATTTCTAAGCGAATTTTCCGGCCAGACAGACCTTATGGACTATGTATATGACAGCGATATGCCAAACCTGTACAAATTGCCGAATGCAAACAACAGAGTCCATAAGGCGTAGGCCCTATAGATATTATATTTATCACATCGCACATGAAGTCGATTTTACTGCCGATTTAATTTCCCCATGATTGCAAATGATGGATTGCCTGTGTATTTTTTAGATCATATGGTGCCGTTTGAAGGTGTCCGCAGCAGTAAGTTTGCTCAGACATCGTTGTTTACAGGCGTTTCGTACCGAAAGTAGGTCACGCCTGTCACTGCGTTCGGCGTGAAGCATGCTTTTAAAAATCAAAAGAAAAATATTTTTGTTTGTTTCTTAGAGAAATTAAAACAGGATGTGAAAAAGAAAGCCGTCCAGTCGACAAACTGTTCCCGGGCTTTCTNAGCTTGAACTTGATATAAAAAGTGCTCAATGAAAGGGATGGTTTCAAAATCGGTGTACAAAACAATTTGTTCATAACAAAAAATGCAAAAATAATCCAATTGTATCCACTATCAAACTTAGAAAGAGTCCCGCTTTTTTCCTAAAAAAAATCAAAATTTAAATTGAAATAATTACAGTTAAGCATTTTTGACCGTCGCCAAAATACATGCAAAAATTTCCAAAACTATCGTAAAAATAATTCGTTCATGCTCATTTCCAAAGAGTCTTAATAGAAAACAAATAAGAAAGGTTTAAGCAATATTTCGGACAGCGACGGCATAGACAGCGTGATCATTATAAATATAGACACAGACACTGTGTGCATATGCAAATTATGAAATACAATGGAAATCTTATTCCGCCAAGACTCGTCATGGTGACTGTCGGTGCAAAGGTGATTGACCTTCAGACCTATAATCGTAGTGTTTATTTTTGCATCCAGATGTCAGGGCGATAGCGAAGCTCTTATTTTCGTTGATTGGGTCAGATATTCCTTATCAAACGATGAGTGAAGTCTGTTTTTAAACGGTAACAGGCAGCAGCACGCAACGTAGCCTTGATGAGGAAAATATTTGCTGCTGCTGCACTGTGTTAGCTTAAAGCAATAATAACTCTTCGTTTCGGCCAAAAAATGAATTTTCTTGGAGTAAACAACAATTTTCCCATGCTTACCAATGATTAATGAATCCATTTTTACATTCAAAGTTAGTCCCTGTTTTTTTTCTAAAAAGTTTGGTTTTTTGTTAAAATCTCTTAAGAGATTTTAACAGAGTATAGACATCAATGGAGGTCACGTGGTCTAAAGACAAGTTCAAATATCAGAATAAAAGCTATAACTGCTGTTTTTTGTGGTAAAACAGAATATATTATATTTCTATGAGTTATTCACAAGGTTTTTATTGTGAAATATAGGTCTCATACAAAGAGTTATTATGCCTTTAATGCATCTAACCAAAAAAGAAATCCTATATTGACGGGAATACGGCTAATTTGACCATGCCATTTTTGTAGGAACTGACTTGGTTGTTTACCAGTACTCAATCGCGCTCTTCTACCATTCCTATGATACTAACGCATGGTCACAAGAGAGTAGGTGTCAATTTGGCTGCTCCTAGTGTCTGACCAACTCACCACATTAATAAGAAAAAAAGTTCCAGTCTAAATGTATAAATCATGGCATATTGGCAAGGAGTGTGAATTTAGAGGACCCAAAAGTAATTACTTTGGTACCGTGTATTTGAAATTAATAACACTCCAAATATTTTACATGGAACAGCATGTTCATTTCTAAGCGAATTTTCCGGCCAGACAGACCTTATGGACTATGTATATGACAGCGATATGCCAAACCTGTACAAATTGCCGAATGCAAACAACAGAGTCCATAAGGCGTAGGCCCTATAGATATTATTTTTATCACATCGCACATGAAGTCGATTTTACTGCCGATTTAATTTCCCCATGATTGCAAATGATGGATTGCCTGTGTATTTTTTAGATCATATGGTGCCGTTTGAAGGTGTCCGCAGCAGTAAGTTTGCTCAGACATCGTTGTTTACAGGCGTTTCGTACCGAAAGTAGGTCACGCCTGTCACTGCGTTCGGCGTGAAGCATGCTTTTAAAAATCAAAAGAAAAATATTTTTGTTTGTTTCTTAGAGAAATTAAAACAGGATGTGAAAAAGAAAGCCGTCCAGTCGACAAACTGTTCCCGGGCTTTCTCGGGAACAACATTTGTATCAGTACAATGAAATTATAGCGTAGAGGGTTGTACATATAATACAGCGAAACGACGGAATACAGAGCGTGGAGAGACAGCGTACGCCGTGAATCGAGAGCACTAAAATATATAATATCAATAGACATAAAATCCGCAAGAAAACGTCCGTGAGTTTTTAATCAGATTTCTGGCGCTACGCATGTGATCAATTTATTAGCAAGTCACTTGCGTTTGCGGGCGAGTAAGACTAAAATCCTAGTTCCCCGACAACAGAAATCACTTACGCAAGGTAAGTTACGCCATTTGGTATGCCGAACCCCGGCAGGTAATGGCGATTAAAAAGATTGTGTCTGTACATAAAAATCGTGCTATCAATGCAATTTGAACTATCTGACAAAGATAACGATAGCGTTTTAAACGTTTCTTTTTATTTGCCGTGTACTCTAGTATTCAAATAGCAAAAATGCCAGGCCAAGCCCGTTCTTTCGAATTCTCTACTGACGGATTAACAGCTATCTTCGTGGAATGATAAGCGTACTATGACGTACCCGTTTACCACAGGGCGTTTATAATCAAATAAATCATTACAAGCCTACACGAAAGGAATTTAGGTTGGGTCCAAGTGTCTTTTTATACTAATAATGTCCAAGCGTTTCTTTCGTGACATCATTCATCACTGTCCAAAGTTGTGCGTCGACTCCGCAGGTGCTATTCAGATGACCGGAGCGCGAGTTTTTAGGATGGTTTCACCACATAACGTGCCACGTTGGCTTTTTAGTTAAAATTTTGGTCCGAGATAATTCCGTGCGTCTATGTGAAAAATCATACCGGTTTTATAAAGAGAAAGAAAAGAACTAATGATTTTTGACAATAGTTATGTTATTTTAATCATGATAACATAAGAGTGGCCAGAAGCAATGGCCGACAACTGTGCAGAAACATCATGTGACAGAAGGGCTTGGCGTTCCATCGTCACCAAAACGCTTGGGCCAAGCCTGGCACCTGATAATTCGATTACGGATTAATCTTGAGTGAAAGAAAAAAATTTAGGATAGGTATAAAACCGGGCCCCAATACTGTGATACTCTCTATCACCGAGTGCGCTGAGTAATCTGTCACAAAATTATTGTAACGCACCCTA